TCAAAATAGCCAATTACTATCGCAGTTTTCGCATTCTGTCCAAAGCAGAACAGCTACAGTAATTTCGTCATAACTCACTCCACACTAATCCAAATGCTCTGAAATTTTACAGGTATCTCCATCACATCAATACCTACAACTTTCATGTTTTAAGCAAAGTCAAATTCGGCCTCTAACCCTATGATCAAAAACCGGACAGAATTTGGGAATTAAGAACCCTAACTTTTCAATTTCACACCAAATCCAAAATTGATTGCATTTTCCTATCCAATACACCTCATAGAGTCATCATCAACCATTACCATTCATCATGCAAAGCCACAACCTTCATTTCATATTAAACCAGAAAAATTCTCAATAAAATGAAAACTTCACCAAAACTCTTCAAATCAAGAAACAAATCACATTTTCTCACACTCATGCCACTTCTAAGCATCATATAACCATTATTAGAGGTAGTAGAGTGTTCAAGCAACACTTACCAAGAAACAAGAAAGATAGAGAGGTTGGCCACCTTAGAGCTTCAAAACAACTTCACTAGTACACTTATTAACACTAGAAGCAAAGTTCCTATGGAGTGAAATGGATGGAAACAATTGGTTTTGGTTGATTTGCACCAAGTGGAAGCTTAAAATTTGAAGAGCTTTCTTCCTTGTGGAGCTTGGGATGGCCGGCCAAGAGGGAAGAGAGAAGAGTGAGTTTTTTTGTAATTTTTGAGATATTTAACTCAAGTGGTAAAAGTCAAAAAAATTGTCAAAAGGTGAATAGTAATTCTTAAGGTACAACCAATGAGAAGATGACATGTGGCACTTTCATCAATGCATTCTTATCTTTCTTTTCTCTCTCACATCAATCACTTCACACACTCTACTTATCACTTAACACCCGATAAATTTCTAACAGTATCCGAAACTTAACCTTATTGGCCGAATTTTCCCGTACCTTTCGCACTAGTGGGTCCCACGTCCAATATATATTCTTAATTTTCTAAAAACTCTCCAATACTAGAAAATTCATCTAAAAACTATAATTACTCATAAAATCCACTAAGAAAATATTTCTAAGCCAGAAAATGCAGAAAACATGCAATTAAGGGGAAAATAAACCCTAGGAAAATATTAGGGCAAAACGGGTTCTCACATCAATCGGCTTGGGAGTAAAAATGACAACCAACAATGTCATATTTTTTGAAGGACATTCTGTGATTAGACCACCCATGTTTACTGGTTTAAATTATGTGAGTTGGAAAGAAAGAATGATTATCTTTTTGCAATCAATTGATATTGAATTGTGACTTATTATTAGTGAAGGTCCATATGATACCTCTTTTATAGATGAAAATACTCATACATCTAGACCAAAAATAAGAAGTGAACTGACTGCTGTGGATAGAGCTCATCTCACCTTAAATGCAAAAGCCATGAATGTGTTATATTGTGCCTTAGATTCAAATGAATCTGCTAGAGTCAAAGGCTGCAAGTCAGCCAAGGAAATTTGGGATAAATTGAGAGAATTTCATGAAGGTAGTGAGAATGTTAGAGAACAAAAGAAGTCTATTCTGGTTACAAAGTATGAATCCTTCAAGATGCAATCTCATGAAAACATTGATGAGATGTATTGTAGATTTAATGACCTCATTAAGGATTTGGAGGTGCTGGAAAAAGAATACTCTCTAGGTGAGAAAAACAGAAAAATTCTGAATGCCTTATCGAAGGATTGGGAGAGTAAAGCGACTGCTATTGAGGAAGCTAAAGATCTAAATACCTTGCCCATTGAATCTCTTATTAACTCTCTAATTTCTTATGAGCTGAAACTCAAGTTCAAGGTGCAGGAGGAAGAAGGTACAAAGGTGAGAAAGAGTATTGCTTTAAAAGCTTCACAAGATGAAGATGATACAGCCTCCGTGAGTGAAGATGACATGGAATGTGATGATAGTGATATTGCACTCATCACACGAGGCTTCAAAAGAATACTCAACAAGAGGAGATTCAGAAAAGGAGGACATAGCAATTCCTTTCCAAATCAGTCCAATAATTTCAGAAATAAAGGAAAGCTGGAATTCAACAAAAAGCAAACTGACAAGTGTTTTGAATGTGGCCAACCAGGACATTATGCAAATGAGTGTCCAATGAAGAAAAAGAAAGAGAACAAGGTTGAACGAAAACCAAAGTTCAACAATTTCCAGATCACCTGGAATGATTGCAACTCAGAAGGTGAAGTTGAGGAAGAAGAGTAATCTGCTCAAGTGGCTTTCATGACCACTGGAGATGAAGAGGTAATTCAATGCAACTCTCAAACTGATAGTGATAGTGAATCCGATGAAGATGTTAATTCTTTTCTAGAAAAAATGCATAACAGCTTGAAAGAATCCTATGTTAAAAACAAGGAACTAAAACAGAAAGTTAGCTTTCTATTACAAGATAATGCAAATCTTTTTCGACAAAACAAGGGTCTTAAGCATGAAAATGAAAACCTGAAGAGGATTGAAACTGATGTGCTTGCTGAACTTAACAAAAGGACAAAACTCTGTAACATACTCAGAAGTGAACAATGCAGTCTAAAAAGGAGGATGGATGATTTATGTCAATTGTTGCAATATATAAAACAGAACCGCCTTCAAAAGAATGACACTGAACCTCATCTTAATACTCATCAGACAAGATTGAATTATAGCAAAAATGAGTTTAATATCTACAGGAGAAGGCAAGTCAGATTTATTAAACCTGTTCATTTGATTGATCCAATAACTATGTGTAATTTCTGTTGTTAAAAAGGTCACATGAAAAGTGATTGCTATGTGAGAAAGAATATAAAAAAAGGCATGAAATGCATGTGGATAGTTAGACATGATGTTAACTTTAACAAGTAGGAGATATTATTAATCATTGCAGTAATTCTTGTTCATTATGTTTTTTTTCTTTTGATATTTCTGATACTTTGATCTGAGTTTTCGCTGATATTTTTTGAATATTACTGGATCTGTATGATGTTAAAAAGAGAGTAAAGAACAATTCTGATCTAATGATGATTTGGTCTGATAATTATTTTGATTGTTATTTCTCTTTTTGATACTCCTTTTGATATCAATTCTCTGTGATATAATAGTTATTGCTGTCATTTCTCTGTTTTTACTTGAAATATTGGATTCTTTGTTATTGTTGTTGAATTATGGTAGCTGATTTTTACTCTCATCTTATGATGACAAAAAGGGGGAGAAATAGATGTAATGAGTAAGGGGGAGTTATTCTGAGATTACGAGTTTGACTCTTGAAAGTTTTGGATGCAATGATTGAGGGGGAGCTTATACTTATTTTTGTTTCTTTCCATCCATTGTTTTGTCATCATCAAAAAGGGGGAGAATGTTGATCTTGATCCCTATCTTTTGATGTTTATAAAACAAATGGATGATACTAATATCTCTTCAAGATATACTTTTAGTTATGAAGTTATTTGATTCCATAAACAAGTGCAATTGAAAGAAAACAAAGGTTGCTGAAAGTTGTCAGACGCTCAAAAAGACTGAATCGGACGTCCGAACGCAGAAAACCAGCCTACCGGATGTTCTAAGGAATTGAAGAAAAATTCTCAGTTTTACATCATACCTTCGGACGCAGAAAACCAGCCTATCGGACGTCCGATAGAATTGAAGAAAATTTTTCAAACTCACTGCCTGATGTCGGACGCAAGAATCGGACGTCCGACAGTATCGGACACAAGCATCGGACGTCCGATACTCCAACGGCTAGTTGACTCTTCAGCTACTTTCTATCCGTTGGAAGCACTAATGAGGCACTTTCTTGATCCTATATAAATAGTGGTTGGTCAGATATTTCAAATAACTTTTGCACACTGAAAATACAAAAGATCTAGAGTGATTTTAGTGAGAAAATACTCTTCAACGAAGATTTGTAGTCTTAGTGGTGTGAGATTCATTTTAAGCTTTTCATTTGTGAGTGAATCTTTCATGAGTGTAGCTCTGTGAGGGTTGTCCTGAGGGATAGTAAAACGTCCTGACTTGACCGAGTGGAGTTCGGGGCAAGGAGGAGGTGAACCTTCCTTTGTACACAAGAGTGATTGTAATTCATCAACTTGAAGTAGCTTATTTGAATTAATCTACAAGCTCAAGAGGAGTTGGGTAGTTAATTGGTTTGCAAATTCTTTCCCTTTTATTTATTCATTGTTATATTGTGATCTTTTAATTGTTTATCAATTGACTTTTCGATTGGTTGTCTTCGATCCTTACAGAAGGTTGGTTTTCTTGGGGTAGTTGTGGCTGTGGTAGTGGTGAGAGGGGCAGCTGCTGGGTGGCAGTGGTGGTGGTGGTTCATCTTCGTTGGTGGGGTCTTGAGATTGCAGGGGCCTCGCCGGGGTTGCCAAATTGCCAAAGTGTGGATTACTGGTGTTGCTGGCATTCCAAAATCGCCGATCATGAAGGAGGAGGCGGGTGGTTGGTGGCGGAGGCTGGTAGTGGAGAGGAGATAATTCAAAGTTCTCAAAATGCTCTTGTTTAATGTTAAATTAGGAGCTAAATTACTTTTAAGTGGCGGCGCCGCCGTAAAAGGACTTAATTAGATCCGAAAATTAAATTCATGTATTAAATTGGCTAAAAATAAAAGTTAGGGACTAAATTGACGGACAAAAAAAGTTTAGGGACGAAAATGACTATTTTTCCAAAAATAATTAAGAGAAGTGAGATTTTTCAAAATTAAGGGTATTGACTAATACCATTAGAAACTACTGTGCTTGGCTCAGTCGCAAGGTGTTAAATCCCTTCTTGTGCTGTAGGTGAGGGGTTTAAATCTAACATGCGGCACAAAAATCGAAGAGTTGTACTAAAATACTCCCTTGATCTAATAAAATTTGTGTACCTATTAGTTCCTAATACAAAGCCTTTTTAGGCTCTCATTTCCTGTAGTTTAGGATAGATAGGCTATGTCTAATCTGACAAAAAAAAAAGTACTAATACCGTTGGTAACTTTTTCAAGATACCGTTGGAAACTTTTTCAAGGGAGGTTTGTGAAGCACCGCCAAAAACCTCTTCGAGGGAGGTTTCCAACTCGAGTCTGTTATTCTATTCTCCCTCGCTGCTTCGAATTTCACCACCACCCACCGCGCATATGATATGAAAGCCTCCTCGTTTTCTTCGCCCTTTTATTTTTCCTTCTCCTTCTCTTGAATTTCTGCTACCGACTTGCTGTTTAGTGAAGAGTCTTCAAACAGAGAATTAAATTTGGGTTAAAGATTGATTTGTTATGGCTGCCTTTCTGTGCAATTTCTCGTGTAAATGGGATACGGGTAAGGTTTTTTTTTTCCCCCTTTTTTAAAAAAAAATTTGTTTATACCCTGAAAGTATCTGAAAATCATGGTGAAAGTCTCCATTCATTGATGAAATTATTTGACTCCACTAATCTGTCTATTCTTTTGCTAAATTGGTCAGATAATGGTGGAGGTTCTGAATCCCAGAACTTGAGAGATATTTCAAGGAAAGAGATGGGTTTGGACTGGATGCTGCGACCGAAGGATACCATGGAAAAGACTCCGGCAACGGTTTCGGACAAGCAACAGGAGGTTCAGGTTGAACCTGAAGAGGTTAGCTTTCAAATTATTTAGACTTTTTTTTTTAATGTAAAATCTGCAAACGCGTAAATCTGATGTTTGTTCTCTACCATTGAACATACTGTAGCGGCAACGTTTTAGTTTAAAAAGGCCAGAATTTTGTTGATGGAGAAACCTTGGGAACAACAGTTGGTAAAGGAACTTTTATGTGCTTTGGTTCGCCCAAAAAAAAAAAAAAAAAAAATTGACATTTTTGGTTCAATCGTTTGCCCCGCTTTCTTCTTTTTTGTAGACGAGAAATGGATAGGGGCTGCCTGTTGGTAATTGGAGTTTGAGGAACTTTGGTGTTAATGGATAATAGACAGAACAAGCATTTAGGATCAATAAAAATGAGACAGGGGAGACTAGAGACACTTGGAGAGGCTTTAACGGCTCTCTTGGAGTAATTGGATTAAGGACTTGGTTCTTTTGTAGTATATTCTCACGTGCTATTAGCTTAGTAGCAATGGTAACATTTCAATCCTGGATGACCTTGAATGAGTCAATCTCAATTCAAAGTGATAATCTAAATTCCCTTCTGGATTTTTTCCATTTTTATTTAGTTCTTTTCTCCAAACTTGTGTGTGTGTGTGCTTTATTGATTTATTTATTTATTTTTGGGTCTGAAATCAACTCGTCTATGCACAAAACTACATGTTCTTGCAGGAAGCATTGCCCTGTGGCTTTTGTTCAGTTGAGTTGTGCCTTCATGTAATTTTTTATATGATTGGTTTGACCGATCTGCCAATACTTGTGTTTTCTTGTCAACGTTGAGAGTGTTTATCTTGCCTGTTGTGGATTGTTCTCTGGGCTGATTTTATCTGTAGATGCCAAATTGCTGTTATCATGCATTTTCAAATACAGTTTGGTTATTCTATTTCCTGGTATATTTTTTGGTTCAGACTAAGAAGATGAATCCCAGGGACTTGAATCCATATTTGAAGAATAATGGTAGTGGGTATCCAGAAGATTCAGATGTTAATGCTTGTCAGAACCAAGTTCTTTTTTCTTCACTTGTGGGTGATGGAGGTGCAAGCTGGAGGTTGAAAGCATTGAAACGAGCTCAGGAGCAAGCAGCCTGTGAAGGACGGAAGCTTGAGGAGGTATGTGGGATTGTCTTAGGTTTCTTATTTGAAGATTCTTCATTCAAGCTAGTATTGTGTAATGAACTAACTTTGTACAGGTGGTTGAAGATCGGTGGGGCTCTCTTGGAGAGCTGGCAGTTTCTGTGGCATCCCATAGAGTGGCACCAAATCATGCTCATCTTCATGCGATAAAAAGTCGGAGGAGAGGGCTGAAGGACGGAGAACAAACAGATGCAGATAGAGACAAGGGAATATTTATTGAGAAGGTATGGTTTCTCCAGACTGTATTGTTTCTGAAAGACGTTGGCTTAATGATACAAAATTTTCCAATTTCAAAAGAAGTATGTGATTAGTTTTTGGTAATTTTTCAAAAACTTCCCAGATTTTCCCAGTCATATTTCTTTATGGATGGTTTTCTTCCCTTTCTTGATAAGTTTTAGAATCCTAACAGTAACTTTTTGCAGGATGGGTCTTCGTGCCATGCTAATATGAGAATACCAAAAGTTCAGGATTCTTTATCCTGGGGAAAGCGTAAGATGCCTGCTCAGGATATCAACCTCTCTGCTGCAGTGTCTAGCTTAAATAAGTTTTCCAATGATGGAAGCTTTATGCGTGACTTTATGCAAAAGAAAAATGATAGTTCAAATGATCCTGTCAATTCTTCAAATGCAAAAAATGACAGACTAGTGGAATCAAATTTGGTTGAAAGACATGGTGAAGATGGTCCAACTGTGAAGCCAGCATTGACGGCAAACCAGTTGGCTGCCAAAGTCATGCAGCTTCACATGAAAGGGAAGCATGAAGAGGCTGAAAAACTTGTGGAGGCTGAAAACACAAAGGCAAAGTCAGATGCTGAGGATGAGTCTCACAGACCACGGATTGATGGGAGCACAAGCAGATATATCATGCATGGTGTATCTGCTCGACAAAAGATGAAGGAGGAGGACGCTGACTTGTATCTGGCTCAAAAGATAATGTGGAACCAGCAGTATAACATCTCTGGTCAGGCAGATGATGAGTATGATTATGATGATGGTCCAAGGAAAAAGACTCGGCACAAAGGAATGGGTACAGACCAAAAACCAAATGAGATAAGTCAGGCAACTAGGATTGCAAATCGCCTCTTGACACAGAAAGAGAGGTGTCAATTTTGTTTTGAGAATCCAGTGAGACCAAAGCATCTTGTTGTTGCCATTGCAAATTTCACCTACTTATCATTACCTCATTGGCAGCCTGTTGTCCCTGGTCATTGCTGCATTTTAACTATGCAGGTGAACTGTCTCTCTCTCTCTCTCTCCCCATATTTACAGTTTATATCTAGACCAGAGCAGGATTGCTCCACTGTAATTCTGGAGTTTGAGCGTGTACGAAGAATGCCTCTTTTCTAGTCTGTTATATGTTAAAGATGCATGTCCCTAATCCTTTAGAGATATCTCAGCACTCTGCTTCACAAACTTAGACTCATAGGAATTGCTTTCTCCTTTCTTTTAGAGATACCCTGTATACAACAAAGTGGTTAGGTCTGCATTTTTCAGTTAAACAACCAATTAAGAGAACCAGAATGGATATGCATTACAGATGTTTCATGATATGTTATAGCTACTTGTATGCCCTAGTGAAGGTTGTGCATTTGCATCTTTAAAACCAAATTGGGGTTCAGGCTATATTCTTACAAGTGTTTGTGCTTAATCCATAGGGCAGCAAAAGGTAATATACTCCAAATTAACAGTTCATTAGTTGCTGAAAAATGTGAAACCTTGGTAACCCAGATTATCGTTCTGCTTGCCATGTAGAACTTTGTGATGGACATTTAAGTTTTTACGCACTAATAATGTTGAAAAGGAAACGAAAGAAAGTTGACTTTGCTGCTGAGTTGATCTTGTAATTATTGTCATCATCCCACAGCACTAACAATGGTTTTTGACATGTGCAGCATGAGTCTCGGACAAGAACTGTAGACAACAATATATGGGACGAAATCCGGAATTTCAAGAAGTGCCTGATAATGATGTTTGCTAAGCAGGATAAGGATGTTGTGTTTCTTGAAACAGTGATGGGCTTGGCACAGCAACGCCGCCATTGTTTGCTGGATTGCATTCCGCTGCCCCATGAAGATGCAAAACAGGCACCTTTGTATTTCAAGAAGGTTAGTTTTCTTCATTTTCTTCTTTTTTTTTGCATCATTCTGATGGTTAATCTTAAAGGTGATCCTGACTCTGGAGGCTATCCGTGTGTGTGAATGTGTTTTTTTTTTTAATTCTTTTTCAATTTTGACCAATCAGTACTTGCTGAAGATTGGAGAAAAATATAAATTGGAGCTCATGGGGTTCCTTCTAGACCAAAATTTTGTGGTGTTTAGTTTGGTATGATAAAGTGTTTAACGATATGGAGTTTGCTGCGTAGATAAGGGCATGGAGGGTGGTGTCCACTTTTCATTTTTATTATTGACAGTGTTAACTGTTTAAGAAGTCTTGCAATAGCTTTTCTAGGTGTTACCTGAATCAAGTGTGAAAGTAGTCCTTTGAGTTCTTGACGAAATTGTTGATTGATCAAGGCATGCAAAGAAAAAGCAGAAATTGATTGATTTGTATGGAGAGCAATGATGATTATGAATAACTCAGTTTGTGCATCAGAAAACCTTAAAAATAATTTGTCATGATCTGGTGTAGGTGTTCTATCCAACTCTGATAGTTGTGATTCAGCTAGAAGGAGACATATGAGATGTTTGTTACATGTTGGAAGTAAATCTATATTCTTATGATTGTACTTGAAAACTGAAGAGAGTAAATTCTCTTTTGTGTCCTTTTAGAGCAAGAATTTCCTTACTAAACCAATCGTACTTACTCCTGTTGTTTGTTGTTTATAGATTAGTTAGTCATTGATGAATCGGATCTTTTTGATTGATTATTTTGGTTTAACATGTTGATGTCTTTAAAGTAAAAAACTGCTCGAGTTTCATGCTTGGATAGTTAACATTTGGCTACTTTTTGATATGTCACAGGCAATTGATGAGGCAGAGGAGGAGTGGAGTCAACATAATGCCAAGAAGCTGATTGATACCAGTCAGAAGGGCCTCCGTGCTTCAGTTCCAAAGAACTTCCCTTACTTTCATGTCGAATTTGGCCTAGACAAGGGATTCGTTCACGTGATTGATGATGAAAAGCAATTTAAGAGCAACTTTGGCCTAAATGTGATAAGAGGTATGCTACGCTTGCCTGCTGGAGACATGCACTGTCGACAGAAGCATATATCGTTGGAGATGCAGAAACAAGCTGTTGCTGTTTTTGCCCAAGATTGGGATCCATTTGACTGGACGAAACAACTTGACTAGCTGTATTGAGCACAAATATTTTACTGTAATGGTGTTATCATGTACTATAGAGGTTTCAGTAAAAGTGGTGAAGGTTGGGATCCCAGCATTCCAGGTCCGTACACATTGATGCGGTCAGTAATCCCTTTGACAGAGCATATTGGGATGTTCAATATTTGTTCAAGTGCTTAGGTTCCAATTTGTTGTTGACACAATAGAACCGAGATCGTAGTTTACTTGATCTTGGTCGAAGTCTGACCCAAGTTCCTTGTAAATGCTGACAGCTTCATTCAGTTTTGGTTAAGCAGCATCATGTCGTATAAGCTATGTCAAGAATTGGGGAACAGTTGCAAGCTGATGAGTAAAAATTGCTAGTAAATTTTTGGATAAGAATCATCAAGGTTGCTATATTATGGGAGTTGCTAGCTGATGAGTGAAATTTGCCAGATTTTTTGAGAAAATTGTCAAGATTGCTATATTTCCAGGCCAAATTAGGGGATTTGGAACGGTCCTTTAGATCTGCTTACTGCAGCCTAGGAATTGAGTAAAAATGTCGTCTAGGCCTCGTCACATCCACTTAAAATTGCTCTTTGATTTTACGTTACATTACCTCATTGCAAGTGCCTATTGAGTATGACATCTTAGATAATTTTTTTTAAAAAAAAATTTGTATTTGAAACAAATTTGTATTTGTTAGTTGTTATAGGTAAAAGTTTGGAACAAATTTGTGTTGTCACAAATTTTTTTATAGCTTTCAAAGAAATGGAAAACTTCCAAGTAAAGGTAAAAGTTACTCCACAAAGCAATATCTTGCAAAAGCTACATGTTCAAACCATCAGCTACATCAATGCACTGTAAAAGCCTAAATTACGACTTGCCATTCTTCTGGATTTATATGATAACCAGGGCCAATAAAATGTTAAAAATGTAAAAATATTCAAAGTATAACTAACCCTTCATCACATCCCCTTCATTGATTCCCTCAAATCTTTCTTGTTTAAACATGTTTGGTTCTTTCCAAACTTTTGGTTCTTTATGAGTAGCCGAAGCATCTACTAACAAACTTGTGCCTTAAGGAATTTTATGGGTACGTCAGAATAAAAATAGGTTTTTATTTTTGTAGTATGATGAGAAACTCAAAATTAAAAAAAAAGTATAAACAACTACCAATATTTCGTTTTATCCTACATCATTGCATAGTTTGAGAATTCTTTCCACGACATTACTCTTCAATTATTATAGTCTCTTGCATATTTCCTTAGCAAGTGCATGTATCTAAATTCAAATATACCTTAGAAAAAGTTGCCTATTTTCATTTGATTTTGGTATACACCAAGAAACAAGTTGCAACACTAACTCAAAGCTGGGAAATTATATTGATCATGGGAGGGCAAGGCTTGTACATTGCCTCCAAAGGCTTGGTCTTACCAAAAGTGAGGCCAGATTTTTCATTATAGCCTACCGTTTCAGATCCTACACTCCCCCACTCAAAGCATTGAACCAAGGTTCTCACATTTCCCACTACCAACCCAACCAATCTCATAGCCATAGCAGCTCCTGAACAAGCCCTTCTCCCTTTACCAAATGGAAGAAATTTAAATCCTACATCCAAACCCTCGAACCTTTCTGGCTTGAACTTGCTTGGCTCTTCCCATAAGTTGGGGTCTGGGAATGGCCCAAGTCTTCAGATGAACAATGAGGTGCAAGAATTGGCGCTGGAGGTAAAAGTCTTAGTGTTTCATTTATTATGCAACATAAATATGGCAATTTGGAGAGATCAAGGTCATCCAACAAAGGCCCTGAATCAGTAACATGGTTGTTGATTTCACTCTTTGCTTTCTGCAATACCTCAGGATGATTTAACAGAAGGAACATTGCACGCTCCATGGTCAGGGCCGAAGTATGTATTCCGGCTGTAAACATAATTTGGACAAACTACTAATGTTTAGTTTAAAAAATATATGCAAAATAAAAATATGTATTTATTGGAACAAAAGTAGTTGTAGTCCAATGTCAACTTCCTATTTTGATTGATCACCTTTATCCCTTGTGACTCTCCTTTGTCATATAAGAAGTATTAGGGGATCTTTCAACGCTGCCTAACTAATGACATGGAATGACCTCCACTTCCCTTACTTCGTCATGGATTTATCTTATAATACCAATCAACTATCCGAGTAAATTCTTAAATTATTATGGAAAAAAAAGTTTTTCTACAAGAGATGGTATTTGTGGGGTAATTTCTAAAATTAGGTGGTTCGCATTTTCTGAATGCGAACTAGCTTAGTTCGCATTCAGCAAATGCGAGCTAACAAAAAGCCAAGTAGCATTTTTTTTTTTTAAATAGACCTTGCATTTGAGAAATGTGAGGTCCTTTGTCTGTCGATCAAAAACGAAAACCCAGCTCCTTCAACCTCCGTCCTCTCTTTGACTCATTTAACCAGAAAACCATAAGAAACAACAAAATTGGGAAATACAAATTGAGGGGAAATTGCATCCCAAATTCGCCATTGAAATCCTCGGAAGCAGCAGCATTCATCAAGAATGCAGCCGTTGGAGGGAAGGAGTCCAACTCTGGTCATCTCGGAAGCTCTCGCCAGAAAGCTGCAAAACAGAGACCGGAAAGTTGAAGGGCTGAAAAGCTGCAAAATGGAGACCGGAAAATGTTGAAGCTACAGCCATCTTTCGGTGAACAAGGTAAGCTTTCTGATGCTATGGCCAGTGACGGAAGAAGATGCTGAAATGCCCGTAGTTATTGATTTTGTTTCTTTTTCTGGTGAAAAAGGAATGCTACCAATAATCGTTATTTTTTTCTTTTGTTAAACATCAATGTTCATTAATGGTACAGATGTTCTTAAGGACATGAAGAGAATACAAATGTTCTTATTGTGGAGTTAAAATTACAAAATCCCACTTATTTATAGTGTAAGGATCGAAGACAACCTAAGAGAGGGGTGAATTAGGTTGATTAAGAAACTAATCAGATTATGGGCACTTTTTGCTCAATATAAAATTTACCCTCTTTTCTAAGTGATCACATAATGAATCAATCAATGAATGAACAAAATTACTTGAGAGAAGTAGAAGATATAAGCAATTTAAAGATCACAAGATAACAATAAGTAAATAAGAAATGAAGAATTGCAAACCATTTGACTACCAAGCTCCTCTTGAGCTTGTAGATCAATTCAAACAAGCTTCTTCAAGTTGATGAAATATAACCAATCTTGTGTACAAAGGAAGGCTCACTTCCTCCTTGTCCCAAATTCTACTCGGTCAAGTTAGGAAGTTTTACTATCCTTCAGGACAACCCTCACAGAGCTACACTATTGAAGTATTCACTTATAAATGAAAAGCTTACAATGAATTTCACACCACCAAGATTACAAATCTTCCTTGGAGAGTGTTTTTTCACTAAAACTACTCTATATCTTTTGTATCTTCAGTGTGCAAAAGTTGTTTGAAGTTTCTGACCATGCGCTATTTATATAAATAGTAAGTTTGAGAAATCATGTTAATTCTTTCGGACGTCCGGTGATGGAGTTCTTCATGTGTTCGAAGTGCTGCATTGTTTATCGGACGTCCGATGTTGTCTTCGCGAGCGTCCGACAGCTTTCAACTTCTTTTATCTCTTTCAAATGCTCTTGTTTTTTGAATCAGATTTGTTTCATAGTTGAAAGTATTTCTTGAAAAGATATTAGTATCATCCATTGTTTTGTAAACATCAAAAGCTAGGGACTAAGCTCAACATATAGTTCTTAATCACTATCCTTAATGGCCTGCTCTCTCAAGAATCACGGCAGTTAATTTGACTGCTCAGAATTTCAATTGCTGACAAAAATTTGGTCCCATCAAAAGATAATTGTCCGATGCATAATTTGCCTTGGTGGAGGAAATTTGACAAAGCAACATTGACATTTAATACATTCCCTCTGTTTTGGTATCATTAATTGTGGCGGTATATCCTAGCCTGGAAAGTGGTTTAAGGGGTCAAGACTGCTGAGTTGGGTTATATTTGATGAAAATGTTAGCTGGAGTGACAATTAATGAAGGAGATTTTGAGAACAAACATAATAGGTTAATGACAAATTGAGATACCAGTGTATTAGTAGATGAAAATGGGTTGAGGATTAGGAATTCTATTAAATCCTGAGTTTGGGACATTCAATCCTAATTTAATAGATTTGTAAGTTGTACATGAACTTGGATTTGAAGGTAAATACAGTGCATCATAGAGATTACAGACATCTTTGGATTTTAAGTTGTTTGCACTAATCCAGCATTAGGCAACAGAAAGCAGGGCCCAATTTTTTATTAACTCAATTAACTAATACTATAAGATGTGGGAGGAGATGCAGGACGTTTAGGTAGCCAATACAATGGTGAATTGACAAAAATATGGGCCATTTATGAGTCCATTCAACTTTCTATTATGATAAACAAATACAAACTGGTAATGAATGCTTGGTACAAGTTCTTGTTTGTGGATGTTATCCAATTGAACGGGCCGTAAGATAGTCACAATGACCAAAGGATCATCCTCGAGGGGGAACAAAAAAAAGGAACAAGAAGACTTTAACTCAGAAATCTCTAAAATGGACCTAATAAAAGGTCAGATTTATTGGACCAAAGTACAAATAAAAATAGAAAATTGGAAGATATTATGAAAGACATGACCAAAGGCTATAATTTTTCAAATAAGTTGGATTTTGGACCTGAATGAGTGTTTATCGAATTCATTCATTCGAGTAGGTTGAATTTTTACTTATAAATTTCATTTTTATGCAAATGAAAAAGTTCAAGTCCAATTTAAAAGCTAGAGGGGGCAATGTTGTTAAACCTGGACATTTTAGCAGAATTTTCAGTTTTAACCCTTGCAATCAACTCTTACAGCAAAATAGGAGATCACAGTTTGCAGTGTTCTAAATTGATGTGATTTGTTCAGCTGCAGGGAGTTTTAACCCATTTATAGGGGAGATTCTGTCAAAATCTCTTTAAAAACTATCAAAGTTGTTTAAAAATTTTTGACAAATACATGCTACGACTAATTTTTAAATTTTTTTTTGTTTCGTCATTAACTCCATCATGTTCATACAGATGCACACAAAGTTGGTGACACGAGCACATTATCAGTTGAAGAGGCTTTGGTTGATAATAGTAGGATCAAATCTCTGTTGGAGTGCATCTCTGGAATCTGAGACTAATTATTAGGTAAATTTATAAGTTTACAACTTTAACAAAGTTGCCTCTCTTTATATTTACGATATTTGTCCAACTATATGAACAAGTTCATTTTACTTGAACAAGTAGGTTTTATTTGATCCCTCCGGTTGTCTCAAACATGACAGAATGAGATATACATCTTTTTTTGACCAAATTACCGGGGATTTGAAAATTTTGATTGACCA